CCTAGGTCTAAGTTATACAAATAAACTTGCTTTATCACCTCATGCAGATAGAATCTCTGCCAAGTCCGCGCAGATATGTGGATTCATATCGCATAATTTTTCCTTCCGGAAATGAAGCTAAGACTTTATCAAATGTTTGTTCTTCCGGTCCTCGAACACTGCTGTCCTTTCTTCTGTTTAATGAACGCCTGCGACCGTAATAATATCGAAAATGTTTAGAGAGTTTTCACCCGGAAACTGTTCTCTCAAGCTTCGTCCAGTATTTCTTATAATCAGAGATGTCAGCTGGCGAACATGAAGTTTTTGTGGGTTAGAAGACTCGAAGCTGGCCTTTGCTTCCTTTTTCGCATCAACTCTAGCTCCAGTCTTTCGCCCATTGGCACTCTCACTCCGAGAGTTCGGTCTTATGCCACACGTAACTCCTGCGTGGTGATTCCGTTGCCTCTTTGTACTACATCTAAGCGCTCCCTCTTCTTTGCTTCCAAATATGCCTTCCTTTGGAATAATCTTCCGCCTGAAATTAGATTATCGCCTAAGTTACTAGTATTCAAGTCGAAATTCCGCAACCATCTTACACCGGAAAGCATAAAGGCACTGTTAACGGTCTCATTCCCGAACACTCAGATTCTTGACTTCGAGAAGGGTCCTCCTGGGATTTAGTGGTAGATCTAGTGGTAACTCTTAATTATATCATTAGAAACCCCTGTTTTTAATTGGTTTCTAAATCCATCGCTATCCTTCCCCCCATAGCGACAATTTTCGCGGTTTTTGATGTCATCTCCCGCATTCCGACCTCATGCGGTCTGTCGACGCTCACGGCGGAACCCTCAGTATTCACTGTCTACTAGTAGTTCGGTCGTACCTCCCTTCCTCACTGCTCGGCTGAGCTCGAAGCGTGCTGTGGCCGATCGCATCTGGGTTCCTCTCGTCTGGCCTCATTGACGCGGCGTACCAATCCGGCCCAGACGATCTCAATTGTGAATCCCGTATACAATGCCATTTGCAAGCCAGTCCTGTCTGACCCACAGTCGTACCCATCAAGGGTGACATTTATTGATACCCTGACGATGACCGACAACATTCCGTTATATACCGCCACCTACAGGCCAGTCCTGCTCGCTTTTTTCTGTTATTATTTTTAAAGAGGGGATTTTTTCTCCTGTAAAATTAATCCAATCATTTTTAACTTTTTCTTAGGAGTTTTTTTTCAACCCTCAATCATCATGTTTCTCAATGGACTTCTAATTTAGATACTATGAATTGCATTTTGTAAAGATTCGGCCTACCTCGTCTAAAACTCGCATGCAAATTTATTTTAACTTGCTTTGATGGGACCCCGATGGGTCTTTAATAAAAATTATCTATCTAAAATTATCTATCTAGTGGTAGTGGTAGTGGAAGTGGTAGTGGTAGTAGTAGTAGTAGTAGTAGTAGTAGTAGTAGTAGTAGTAGTAGTAGTATTAGTGGTGGTAGTCGTAGTTGTCGTAGTGGTAGTAGTAGTAGTAATAGTAGCAGTAGTAGTAGTAGTAGTAGTAATAGTAGCAGTAGTAGTAGTAGTAGTAGTAATAGTATTTGTAGTAGAATTACTAGTAGTAGTAGTAGTAGTAGTAGTAGTAGTAGTAGTAGTAGTAGTAGTAGTAGTAGTAGTAGTAGTAGTAGTAGTAGTAGTAGTAGTAGTAGTAGTAGTAGTAGTAGTAATAGTAGTAATAGTCAGCAATGTCCATCTTATTGCTAATTACAGTCCGTATTTAGTCCCGCGACGAATGCCGTTACAGGCATTTGTGAAGTTTTTTTACGCTAATCTCATAATATAGAGCATTTCATTCGGTCCGAAGTGAAATGCTATTACTGACGTTTGTGACGTAGTGGCTAGCATAATGGCTCTTATGGCGGATTACATTCACTCCCATCACAAATGCCATTACTGACATTTGTGAAGTAGTTATGAGCATAGTGGCTCTTATGCCGGATTACATTCACTTCCATCACAAATGCCATTACTGACATTTGTGAAGTAGTTGTGAGCATAGTGGCTCGTAGGCGTGACCGGCTCAGCCGACTAAGTCAAGACGGATTTGCGTTAAGCCTCCGAGACGTTGGGCTCACCCAGGCATATTTAGCTGACTGCGAGCGCCAACCTGGTTCTATTGATCCATTTTGCAGGCGCCCATTGATGGGGCTAGAGTACTGCACGTACGAGCATGCGTCATGCCTTCACGCACCCAGCTGCCCAAAGCTACTTCTCGTTAGCACGCACGCACGCACGCATGCGCGACTATGCTAGCGCGAACTATCTGGGCATCTCAGTGCGCGAAGGCATGACGCGCGTCAAGCGGCACCCGCGTTGTACACACGCACGCACGCAGGCGTGAGCGACTTTGCCAACGCGAAGTAACTGGGCAGCTGAGTGCGTAGAGGCATGACGCATGCTCGTACGCGGATGCCGCTTGACGCGCGTCAAGCCTTCGCGCACTGAGCTGCCCGGCATAGTCGAGCCCGGCAGGGGTCAACATTGTTCTGTTCAACGTAATTCAATATGTGTACGCACGGCAGCTGCCATTTCCGATGGAACCGACAGCTGCATGTGTCCACGGCCTTACTACAAAGCCTTACATTTGCGTTTGCGGACACGTGACTCAGCACGACGTCTTAGGCATACCCAGTCAGCATTTGACATACTTTGGTGACAAGCGGCCTTAATCCCTTGTAGTGGCTGCGGCGGCAGTACTCCTCGGCATCAAGCCGCTCGTTGTCCACGGTCTTTGAATCCAAAAAGTTTACTATGCTATGTACGCAGTCGGTGAGAGACATATAGGGTCTACACCACTGCTTTAAGACACGGGTAACACTCTCTATCTTATTTGTGGTATTGTCGCCGTACGTCAAAAGACCACGCCGAGCGTAATGGGCCCACCGGCGTCTGCATCGCCACCAGTTGACCACAATATACGGCCATAGCTCAGGGAAGAATTGCCTGAAGCTATTAAAATGTAATTTGAAAAACTTAAAGGAGGATGCATACACAGCCCTACGAAAAACGTCAAATGCATGCTCAGACCTTACGTCTTTATACACGCTTCTGATCTTTCTCTTGAAGGCCTGGAGCACATGAAATGTGCAGATAAGGACGGCTACCTGAGTTCCAGGAAAACATCCTTCCAGGCCTTCAGTTCTTTCGCATCCTTGTCTATAAACACTGTGCGTAAGTTGTCAGTAGCAGACCCCATCTTCTCCCTAAATTTATCTACTACCCACCGCACGCTAACGGCGTCGTCCTGAGTTACAAACGCGTAGAACACGGACTGAGCATCCCCATGCTTATCAGTTACCACAATGTGGTACAATGCACACCCCTGCCTATTGGTCCGGTAGGTAGCGTCCATTTGGACAATCTCCGGATACGCAGAGCACGTCGCCCGCAGAGCCGGCGTCGTAAAGCAGGCGGCCCGCAGAACCGATTACGTAGAGCACATGGCCCGCGAATCATCATAAAAAAATCGGGGTCGCAGCCACCCCTCATAGGGAACAGAGCATTCTTCATACCCCTAACCGGTGGATCACTCCGAAACAGCCGGTGGCGCATGTTGGCTATGTCCTTCATTTTGTAAGTAAGACCATAGCAACCTACGACTGTGTTTGGAGAACGTAATCTTACTTTTCAGGTACGCCTTCAGCCGTCCTGCTGATGGGCGCATCTGCTGCATCAACCGCAGCAGGTTTTTCTCGTCTTGCTCCGGCAACCGCCGCAACTTGGGGTAGGCGGAGGACATCTGTCGACTGGATACGTGGTTGTGGCGCAAATTTAGTGCCTTCACGTGCAATTCGTCCCCAATCACTACGGCGGTGAAGCGGGCTGTACATCCGAATTTCAGAGGAATAAACCGCCTGATGTAAAGCAACAGTCGCTTACGCTGTTTTTTTCTTGGAGCTGCAACTGCGAAAAACTCCGGACTGACAGCATGTAAAGTAAACATAACGGTACTTAAATGCGTCAACCCGCGGATGGGTCGCTGGCAGTCTTTCGCTCTTAGTTCTGCTGAAGCTGGTGGAGGAAGCCTACAAAATAACCGAACGTTTAATACGGCTTACCTTCTCGTACTCTTTTACCGCGGACATTAAGCCATCGAAGCTCCCAAAGATCCCGCCTTGGAAAACATTCTTAAACGAAGAACAAAGCCAACGAGTTTGTTCTTGCACTGTAAAGCACGGTTTGTAAAAATCCATTGTAGTGAATCCTTTCCCTACTACCGCTTTCTAGTTTTCGTGGTAAAAAAACAGTAATACGTGCTACTCAGTGCGCG